CTGAGGTAGATACACTCCTTGGAGAGAACAATCATTGAGAAAGAAGGGCTCCCTATACACAGGGAGACAGCTCAGGGGGCAGGAGTCCATGGAGGGATGGACACTGGGAAGAGGTAACTATGAGGAGGAAGTGGGAGGGGAGCTGTTACATTGTGGTAAACTGTGGTCAATGTCATGAGACAAAGTATATGTAAACTGTTGTATTGAAAGTGAATTTGCTCGGTAAATCTTCACCCAAATCACAATACAAAAAAAAAAATCTAATACATTTTATTTTTTTTTTACTTTTATTGTAGTGAAAACATACACAAGACATCAATATAACAATGTCCATATTTGCAGCTCAGGGACACTTATGGCATTTCTCATGTTGTGCCACAATTATTGCTGTCCTTTTCCAAAATATTCCACCACCATTAGCATAAACTCAATGCCCCCCAAACAAAAGCTTCGCCTTCCCCTTTCCCCGTCCCTCCTACCTCTGGTAACCACTAATAATCTTTCGTTGATACACATAAATACTTCCCATCCCTGATGACCAACAAAGAAAGTTTCCTTCCATATATAAACCTTCCCTTGACTTTTTTCCTTTCAATTTTTATTATGATTTGGATGAAAGTTTATAGAGCAAATTCATTTTCCATACAGCAGTTGAAACACTTTTTGTTTCATGTCATTGACTGCAGTCCCCACAATGTAACAGCTCTCCTCCTACTTCCTCCCTGTGGTTACCTCTTCCCTGGGTCCTTCTTTCCTATGCATTCCTGCCCCTAGAGCTGTCTCCCTATGCAAACACTGCCTTCTATTCTCCCGTGATTGATTGCTGTAAGGAGTGTATTTACCTGATGTAAATGTTCACCCTGTATGCCTGTCTGTTGTTTGGCTGAAAACCATGGGAGTGAGTTCAATTCCAGACCTGAAGGGTAGGTAACTAAGGGCCTTAGTCTCAAGGCTACATCAGACCAGCAAACCTGATCATCTGGTCCTTTTTTAGGATTTTGAGTTTTGTTCCACATTGTTCTCCCACTCTATGCAGGATCTCCTGTACTGATCCTTTTCTGAGTGGTTAGCAGTGGTAGTTGGGCATCATGTAGTTCTTCTGGTCTCATGATCATATAGGCTGAGGATCACATGGTCTACTAGTCCATTGGACTAATTATTTCCATGTGTCTTTGGTTTTCTTTATTCTTCCTTGCTCTGAAGAGGAGAGACCCATTGTTGCATCTAGATGGCCACTTGTAAACTTTTAAGACCCCGGTTGCTACTCACCAAAGTATGAAGTAGAACAATGTTTTTGTGTAGTACATTATGCCAGTTGAGCTTGATGTCCCCTGCAACCGTGGTACCAAGCCCACAGGTTCAGCTACTCGCTCCATCAGGGTGGTTGGCTGTGGCTAAGAAGTTATCGTAACTTTGCCTGTTGTTAGCTCTGTTATATATTTGGACATTGTTACAACACATACAAATATGTGTGTAGAAATATCATCTTGTGTGGTAGTTAAGGTTGTGTGTTAGCTTGGCTGGGCCTGGTTGAGTGGCTGGGCAGCTGGATGTAGTTATTCCCCATGGTGAGATTGGCATTCAGTTCCATGGTGGGATCTACTATAGAGCAGCTGAGTATCTGCTTTAGGGATGGGGTCTGCTCCCAGTATATAAGAAGCAGCTTTGAGTAAGGTCTCCAGCTTTTTGGCACACTTGAACCCTGCATGTAGTTGAGTCTTCGTTTAGCAGCCTGCCATGCTCTGCCAATCCTGGGACTTTTAATGGACTTGAATCAATGGCCTGCCATGTGTTTTGACAATATTGGGAATGTGCCTTCTCACTTGTCGACCTTGGGTTTTTTGGCCTCAGCAGCCAGCAGCTGCCTGAGTAAAAGGATGCCTCTAGCTTCAGTGGGCTGGGAGCAAGAGGCAGAGCTAAAGCCAAAGGTCAAGGGGCTTTCACCCAGCCCCTAGAGCCTGGCACCTGGAGTGTGGAGTTCTATCCTCCAAGCACAAACTGTTTGTTTAAGCCATCCCATTTATAGTATATTCCCGTCAGAGCGGCACTAGGTAACCAAAATAGTCTGCCAGCCTTATATATGGTCATGGGCATATTCCCTCTTGCCTAGACATACCTGATCATTCAACCTGTGTACCCATCTATTTACCAGTAGATTAATGTTTGTAATCACTGACAATACAGTATTGTATATATAAAAGGGTTTATCTTTGATGTCTGTACCTCTTATGTACCTCTCTCTGTCATCCTCTTACTCAGTGCCACTGTGTTGATCACTCACTGTTGGTACATTGCCCTTCCCTTCACCCAAATCAATACTTGTCTCTACCTATCTAGCAGTTTTCCCTCCTCCCCAAGGTAACCAACAAAGAGATTTTCTTTCCACATATAAATCTTTCATTGACTTTTTACAATAGTGACTAATACAACATTTGTCCTTTTGTGGTTGACTTATTTCACTCAGCATAATGTCCTCCAAGTTCATCCACATTATGCAGTGTTTCCAGATAAAAGAATCTAATACTTAATGCTGACATTATTTTCTAAGTAGGCTAAACTATTATTTGGTTAAAAAATGACTTCAGGGGATAGTTTCAGTTCAAAGTTTAGAGATTTTCTCAGGGTAATCGTTTTAGGAGGTCTTCTGACCTAAGTGGCTCCAGAAATTCTAGATTACATGAGAATTTTAAATTCTGTTCCTCATTTTCCCCCTTTAGATCAGAATGGTTTGGTTTGGCTTTAATATCCTGTGGTCTTACAGGAGCAAGCCCAAGAAGTAATTGCTTTCTTATGTAGAGAAAAGCTTGTGGATGAGATGAAAAGGTAGACCAGATGCTCTCATTGGTCCCTTCCACTTGTGACATTCTCAGCTGCTGGAGTGTGAAGACACACTAAGACAGACCTCTGCCTCCTCAAGAGAGGCCCCCTAGTCAGCCCCCCACCTCAGGGCACTATGTTCCCACACTGGAGGAACTTTAAGGGGAGGGTCTGGTTTTAGAGAGCCATGCCTTTTCCTAAGAAGTTTTCCTAGTGTCCCAAGAACAGGTAGGTTTTACATCTCTCCCCACTGGTCATGTTGTCTGTTAGTCTGGAATGATTGAGTTTGGATACTTACTCTTACCTCCTCTTCCCTGTGCCTTCTTCCTCACTATCTTCTCTCTTTCAAATCATAGCAGGGATGCCTTTCAGTCAGTGACTTATGCTTTGCAAAATGCTTTTATGCCCATGTTTTCTTCTTACTGTAATCACAGGAACAGGAAGCCTAAGTGTCATTTTACAGATGACAAAGTAAAAGTCTGAAGGTTGGCCATGGGTCCAAGGTCCTTCTGTAGTAAAGGAGCCCTTATGGCACAAGGCCTAAGAGCTTGGCTGCTAACCAAAAGCTTGGTGGTTCAAACCCACCCAGCAGCTCTGCAGGAGAAAAGACCTGGCTATTTGCTCCTGTAAAGATTACAGCTTAGAGAACCCTGTGGGGCAGTTCTACTCTGCCACATGGGGTCACTATGAGTCAGAGTCAACTCAGCAGCACCTAACATTAACCTCTGCAGTAAGAAGTAGTGATGCGCACGCCCTGGAGAGAACAATCATGGGAGAAGGAAGGGCGGCTTATGCACAGGGAGACAGCTCAGGGCGCAGAAGTGTATGGAGGGGTGGTCATTGGGGAGAGGTAACTATGGGGAGGAAGTGGGAGGGGAGCTGTTGCATTGTAAATTTTGGTCAATGACACGAGACAAAATGTATGTGAACTGCTGTATGAAAAGTGAATGCACTCTGTAAATCTTCACCCAAATCAAAATAAAATTTAAAAAAAAAAAAAAAAAAGAAGTAGTGATGCGACCAGAGCCCCGGGCTCCTGAGGACAAGCTCTGTCTGCTGCCTGCTTCCCTCCACCAGCCACCCTTCTTTCCAGCCTTTCTGCAGATGTCCCTAATGTAGAAGTGTTGGAACAGGAGTTGGCCTGGCTGAAGGAGCACCTGTCCCAGTTGAACTCTCCTGTGGTGTTTTGTCACAATGACCTGCTCTGCAAGAATATCATCTATGACAGTGCCAAAGGTACGACTTCTCTGGCCCTGGTTGAGTAGCAGCAAAGCCTGAGCTAGTTCATCAGCTGGTTTCAGGCTCATGGACAAGCAAAAGGAGACCATCTAGTTTAGGACTCATGCTAATTTTTATCTTAAAGGAAAGAAGGGGGAAAGGAAGCAAATTGCCACATACAAAAATCTGTCTAAAAAGAATTCAAGTATGTGATTTGTGGAGGTCCACAGTGTTAGAGTACCCAAACCTTCTAAGACTTCCTTGGGCCTCCAAGTTTATCTTGACTAGCCTAAGGCCTTCATAAAAAGAACTGCCTCGTGTTCTCAATGAGGGCTTCACCCCCAGGAAGTACTCGGCTTTATGTCTGATGCCCAGCTATACTGAGGTCAGATGTCTATAGATAGGGAGAGCCTGAGGATCCAGCTGGATGAGGGGGATCCCTATAGTAGGCAAGGGCAGATGGACAAATAAACAGATGGAAGGAAACAGCTTACAAGATTGCTAAAGAGGAGGGTGGGTGTGGCTGGGGAACTAGTGAAGCCAGTGAGAGTCAGTGGATGCATTCCAGAAGTCTTGGAGAAGCTTGACTAGGCCTTATTTCTAGATCTCCTGGGACCCACCCTCATTGTTTCTCTTCTACCTCACAGGTCAAGTACGGTTCATTGACTATGAGTATGCTGACTACAACTACCAAGCATATGACATTGGCAACCATTTCAATGAGTTTGCAGGTAAGATGGGCATTACTTTTTGACCTGTGTGCAGGGCACCCTCCTTGTGTTGGAAGGCCAGGTCCAGGAGGAAGCTGAGGGGTGCCCTGTACTTGGTGTACTCAGTAGCTCCAGTCCTTGGGAGTATCACAGCTGAGGGGGAGAGCTCCAAGTCTCATGAAGAGGCAGGACCCATATACACTAACCAGACCTCAGCTGGCCCATGTGGCAGTTTGGCGAGAATCAGGAAAATGCTCCTTCTATAGAGTCCCTGAGGGTACTTGACTTGGCATGTGAGTTAGAAAAGACCCCCTTCCTCTGAGCAGACACAACCCATGCCAGCTTCACTCACCTCCTGTCTTAAGCTTTTTTATGCCCAGGACAATATGCATACTCATACATTAGGGCCCTTTACGACTCACTACCATCGAGTCAATTCTGACTCATAGTGACCTCTTTGGGTTTCTGAGGGGTTTGCCCAGTCTTCCTTCTGTGGAGGGGCTGGTGGGTTTGAACTACCAACCTTCTGATTAGCAGTTAAATGTCTTAGGCACTATACCACCAGAGCTCCTTGATCAGTGACAGAACAAGGTGTAAGTAGCTATTTGCTTAGGGGCATAATGAGAGTAATGGAGGTGGAACTAGTTAGAAGTGTGTACACTGCAACTTACTGAAGATAATTCAAAATGGTTGGAGCAGTATATTGACAGAGAACTTCCAGAAATGCAAACTGGATTCAGAAGAGGACATGGAACAAGGGATATCATTGCTGATGTCAGATGGATCATGGCACAAAGCAAAGAATACCAGAAAGATACTTACTTGTGCTTTATTGACTATGCAAAAGCATTTGATTGTGTGGATCATAACAAATTATGGATAACATTGTGAAGAATGGGAATTCCAGAACACTTAATTGTACTCATGAAGAACCTGTACATAGACCAGGAGGCTGTTTTTCAAACAGAACAAGGGGCCATTGCATGGTTTAAAATCAAGAAGGGAATGTGTCAGGGTTGTATCCTTTCACCATACTTATTCGATCTCTATGCTGAGCAAATAATCCAAGAAGCTGGACTATATAAAGAAGAATATGGCATCAGGATTGGAGGAAGACTCTTTAACAACCTATGATACGCTTATGATACAACTTTGCTTGCTGAAAGTGAGGATGACTTGAAGCACTTACTGATGAAGATTGAAGACTACAGTCTGCAATATGGATTACATCTCAATATAAAGAAAACAAAAATTCTCACAACTGGACCTGTAAGCAGCATCATGATGAATGGAGAAAAGATTGAAGTTGTCAAAGACTTCACGTTGCTTGATTCTACAATTGACACTAATGGAGGCAGCAGTCAGGACATCAGATGATGTATAGCACTGGGCAAGTCCTCTGCAAAGGGCCTCTTTCAAGTGCTGAGGAGCAGAGATGTCTCCTTGAGGACTAAGGTGCATTCGACACAAGCCGTGATATTTTTAATCACTGCATATGCATGTGAGAGCTGGACAATGAATAAAGAAGACCGAAGAAGAACAGATGCTTTTGAGATGTGGTGCTGGTGAAGAATGCCGAAAGTACTATGGACTGCTAAAAGAACTAACAAACCTGTCCTAGAGGAAGTGTAGCCAGAATGCTCCTTGAAAGCGAAAATGACCAGAGTTCGTCTCACCTACGAATGTTGTCATGTTGTCAGAAGGGACCGACCATTCGCCGGAGAAGAATGTCATGCTTGGTAAGGTGGAGGGTCGACAAAGGAGGGGAAGGCCTTCAACAAGATGGATTGACACAGTGGCTGCCATGATGGGTATAGCAGGGATCGCAGAGCTGGCATGGGACGGGGCAGTGTTTCATTCTTCTGTGCATGGGGTCACTATGAGTTGGAGATGACCCAATGACACCTAACAACAATGCTGCAACTTAACTCTCCAAGTTCAAATCCTGCTTTTGCTGTTTAGTACCTGTATGACCTTTGGGCAGATTACTTATCCTCTCTGTGCCTCAGTAAAATGAAGATAACAGTACCTATGGCATAGTGTTGAAATGAGGTATAAATGACACTCACTTAGAACAGTAGCTGGCACATACTAAGCATCATTTACATGTTTGCTGCTGTTAACTGGGCAGGGAAGCCTTCCTACAGCTGGGGAGAAGAGCAGGAATGGATGAAGTTAGATAAGGGGAGTGTTTCCTAGGGTTAGGTAATTGTTCTGTCAATGTGTGGTATGTACAAAGGAACCATTTGTGTAAAGGAAGCAGGGCAGGTTTTTCCAGCTTGAGGGCTTAACTGTTGAAAATAATTAGATGGGACCAACTGAGAAGACAACTCAGGGATGGAGCTAGATATTGGGGCTGGAGGGACTTTGCTGGCTAACGCTGTGGGATGCTTAGCACAGCATGGCCTGCCGCTGTGACTTAGGATAGATGAGGCATGCCCAGGCCAATTGGAGAATTAACCCCTCGCCCAGTCTCAGCCACTATCCAGCACCATCCATACCAACCGTGTCCTTTCCAGAACTCCAGGCAATAAAGTCTGTTAAGCACTAATTATACCTGAGGTTCTGACTCCCTGGAATGGTCACCAGCTATACCTAGGAATCCCGAGGGATGCTCATCAGAGCAGCTGAGCTGTGGGGTAGGGTGAGAAGCAGAGGCTGGCACCAGCAGGGCACTGGGCCTGCTGAGTGTTCAGCTGCCAGGCCCACTGGCTTTCCAGAAGGAATCATTCTTTAGCATTTAAGTCCTAACCCACCACATGGAGCAAAGTCCAGCTGGAATTTCTCCAAAGGGACAGATTGCATCCTGCTCTCAAGTTGAGAATGGAGGAGGAAGTAGCTAGCATAGGGGGATGGAGGAAGGCAAGAGAAAATGTTGATAGGAGCTGGGGAGAGGGACCTCTGGGTTCCCAGGAGCAAGGAAGATGCTGGACTGGGAGTTGAGAAATGAGAATTCCAACACTAATCCCACTTCCAACCGGCCTTGTGACTTTGAGCAAATCCCTCCTCTCTGGGCCTTAGTTTCTACATCTGCATAAGATCTTTCCCTAGCTGTATCTTTAGGCCTCAGGAAACTGAGTGTGTTTCTCCAGGAATACAAGAGACACTTGGGAAGGACATGAAGGAAAGAAGAGGGAAGAAGAAACTCTGGGGAAAGTGGCCTAGTCCTGGTCCTGTCTTGAGGCATTTGTCTGTTTATGTGTTCAGTTGGGGAGACTTTGTAGGTCAGAGTCAGGTTGGCTATAACTTTACAGAAGCCACTCACCAGGCCTGCCTTGTGGTGCAGTACTGCTGGGTGGGTTCAAACAGGCAGCCTTTGGGTTACTAGCCAAGTGTTGACCATCTGCGCCCCCCCAGGGACCTTAGTTCTGGTCCTGTCTTAAATAGACCATCTCTTTCTGTACCAGTTCTCACCTCTTCCTGACACTAGGGTCTTTGCCATCCCTCTCAGGCTGTGGCTGGCATGCACTGGGCTGGCAACATTAAGACTTCTGGGATAGCAGGGCTAGAAGGAATCAGAGCCAGGGAGTTCCAAGCCTGGCTAGTGTCAGAATCATCTGGAGAATTGGATAGGGCTGGAGGTGCCTGTTGTTGCTGTTAAACCAAAAAACCAAACTCACTGCCATCGAGTCAGATCCGACTCATAGCAAACACCCTTGGGTTTTCAAGACGGTATCACTACGGAATTAGATTGCCCAACCTTCCTTAGGTTAGGTGCCATCAAGTTGGCTCTGACTTACAGCGACCCTGTGTACATCAGAACGAAGCACTGCCCAGTCCCGCAACATCCTCACAATCACTGCTAGGCCTGAGCCCACCATTGTAGCCACTGTGTTAATCCATTTCCTTGAGAACCTTCCCCTTTTTCGCTGACCCTCCACTTTACCAAGCATGATACCCTTCTCCAGGGAATGGTCCCTTCTGACAACACGACCAAAGTAGGTGAGATGAAGCCTGGCCATTCTTGCTTCCCAGGAGCATTCCAGCTGTACTTCTTCCAGGACAGATTTGTTAGTTCTTCTGGCAGTCTATGGTACTTTCAATATTCTTCACCACCACCACAACTGGGGTGGGGGTGGGGGTTGCCTAGAAACCCGTATATTTACTCACTCTCCAGGTGATATTTCTAAGTAGCCAGTTTAACACTGATCTAAGAAGCAATGTTTGAGACCCACATGTCAAGTTCAGGCACCTCGAGATAAATGAAGGAATTTTGGCCAGTAGGAAGAAAGTGGCATCCCTGGGTACTGCAAACAGTTAAGCACTCAGCTATGAACTGAAAGGTTGGTAGTTCAAGTCCACCAGAGGTGCTTTAGAAGGATCTGGCAATCTGCTTCTGCAAATCAGCCACTGAAAACCTTATGGAGCACCGTGTTCTACTCTGATGCATATGGGGTCACCGTGAGTCAGAAGTGACTCAACGGCAGCTAGTTGTTGGTTTTAAGCAATAAAGACTTGTCTAGGTTCACTTGGAGGTTAGCATTGGACCTAAGACTACTAGCACCCTTGATTTAGTGGTTTAGTCAAGTGCCTCCTGCTTGCATAGTTTTGTACAGAGCATAGGGGATCTACTGGTGCTAGTCAAGACAAACCATTCCCTGCCCTGTGGGGCTCTGTCACTCCCAGGCTGCTCCTTTCTTCTCAACCAGCCTGCCCTTCTATACACCCAACCCCACTGAAGCAGTGCTCCCACCTGGGATGGGTGTGGACCCTCCACACACAGGGTAAGCTTGCTGGTCACAGAGCCTGCATTCCTAGGGCCACCTCCTTGGGTAAATAGCTTGGTGGGTGAAGATGCACATCAAAGGAGGTGGAGGCTGTGAGGGGAAAAGGGAACACTGTGCTGAGGGAGACCCCTGAAGGGGGCCATTCCCAGCACCTCTCTCTGGCCTGCCTCCCCATCAGGTGTGAATGAAGTTGATTACTGCCGCTACCCAGCACGGGAGACCCAGCTACAGTGGCTGTGCTACTACTTGCAGGCACAAAAAGGGATGGCCGTGACCTCCAGGGAGGTGGAGAAGCTCTATGTACAAGTCAACAAGTTTGCCCTGGTGAGTGCTTGTGACTTGGGGACAGGGTATGGGGCAGGAGAAGGAGGAGCCAGGAGAAAGGACCTGTATCCCTCCCTCAGCCTTGTGTTGAGGGAGGTGGAGGCAGAGCCCAGGGTCATGTGTGAAGTCCAAGAACACCCATTATGTTGTTCTGAGTAACAGTCCTAGAGGTGTGTGCAGTCTGGAAGGTCATCTTAGCTGTCCCTTTATTACTAACATGCTCTGTTCCCTGCTCCCCCACTCAGTCCAATTTCTTTCAGAGAAATACTTCCAAGAAAGATTCCCCAGCTTTCTATTTTAGCAGTTCACTCTTTTGGACAGGTAGTTCTTTCTACTGTCTAACCTCAGTCTTTCATGCTGTCTTTGGAGGAGCTAGAGGATGTCAGGCACTTCTCCTCCTTGGGAATGGCCTCTCTGACTCAGAGCTCTCTGTCAGCCTTTTCCAGCAGGCTCTTCCTGCTTAGCTGACTTTTCTGTCAAGTCTCAATTTGAGTGCCACTCATGTGTGTGGTTCATGCCAGGTCTCTACTGTTGTGTGCCCTGGGAACTGATAACAAGTCTTATACTGTCAGCCATGCATAAGCAAGAAGATAAGTCAGCTGTCCTAAAATGTCACAGTACATAAAAGAGCTAAATAGTAGAATCTTTACTTAACTGTGATTTTTGGATAGCCTGTGTCATTTTCCTCATTGCCACAAAACCAATTCTATGTGAGACTCTTCCTCCTAAGTGTTCCACCCATGCCTTCTTCGTGATAATTTTTTGTTCTTGTTTTCTTTCCTCTTGATAATATTTTTTTAGTACTCAGTCATACCTGCTATGCCCTTTTTAAGTCATGAAAAAAGACTATTTGCTGTCGAGTTGACTCTGACTTGTGGCGACCCCACGTGTGTCAGAGTAGAACTGTGCTCCACAGGGTTTTCAGTGGCTGATCTCAGAAGTTGATTGCCAGGCCCGTCTTCCTAGGTGCCTCTGGGTAGACTGGAACCTCCATCATTTTGGTTTGCAGCCAAGAGTGTTAACTATTTGCACTACCCAGGGATTCTGATTGATCTTGCTTGCTAATTGATCCATGCCCTTTTACATCATGAAAAAAGAGAGAAGTAAAAGGAGGTACTTTGTAAATAGTCCCGTAAGTGAGCAGGATGTTGGGATGGGGTGGGAGGGTAAGAAAGCTATAAGGGTGGGGGACCTTAGCCTAGGAAAGTCATGGTGTCAGTGTGCTTTGCTTAGGGGCAACTGAGAACCACATCTCTCTGGCTTCTTGAGCCTGGGGCAACCTAGGTCCCTAAGAGCACCTCTAAATGAAAAAACCAAGCTCACTGCCATCAAGTTGATTCCGACTTGTAGCAACCCACTTTAGGTTTCTGAAGTGGTAAATCTTTATGGAAGTAGATTGTCCAGTCTTCCTTCTGCAGAGTGCCTGGTGGGTTTGAACTGCCAACCTTCTGGTTAGCAGTCAAATGCCTTAGGCACTATGAAAAAGCACAGCCCGTGCTCAGTCAAGGCCCAGATTCAGGTCTTCTTGTTTCTAGTTTAGACTCATCTTTTAGACCCATCTCCCAGTAGAAGAGAGAGAAAAACATGGAGGGAGAGAGTGTATGGGCCTTCCCACAAACCAGACCCCTGATGACCTGGCAAAGTTAGTGGCCAGGACACTGCTGCCCATCACTCTACTCATTCCCCGTGTCCTACTGAGTGTTCCCAGCCCCTCCACTGGCCACCAGGCCTGACTTGGTTCTAGGGAGTCATCTTGTCCTCTGTATCTTGGCCTTGAGACTCAGGAGATTCCCCTGAGCAGAGGAGAAGCCAGGGTAGAGGGTGAATCCTGCTCAGGCTGAGGAACAAGCTGGAAGCCCTTGGAGCATCATTCTGCTGCCCCGCTCAGCCCCTCGAGAAGGTAGACACCTAGAACCTAGGGAGAACTGCTCTGCTTGCCTTTTTCCAGAGGAAGTGGAGCCCCCAAATGCTGTACAGTAACTTAACTTCAGGAGTTTCCGTAATCTATGATGGGAAAACCCTACCAGGTGACTGCTAGTTTCCCAGCTCTGTGTCTACCAAAGTCCCTGTGTCCCTCTGGCTGTGTAGAATCCTTTACAGGTGCAGGGGGATGGCCATGCTGACCCTCTCTAGTCTATTTCCAGGCATCTCATTTCTTCTGGGCACTCTGGGCCGTCATCCAGAACCAGTACTCTACCATCGACTTTGATTTCCTCAGGTGAGTTCAGGGACAAGTGGGATTCAGGGTGGGGTTGGGTCTGTAGGTTGTTGAGCCCAGGGTGTAAGGGTAACAGACAGCCCAACTGGAATGCCCAGAGTCCATTCCTCTGCTCTGCTGATTTCATTCCACTCCAGCCTAACTGTTCCCAGTGGGGTTGCTGCTCAGGGGAGACCTGAGGTGAGCCCAGGACACCCCTCTAGAAGTGGAATCACAGCTGACTCCCTCCCCTCCATCTACTGTCTAGTAGGACATTCTGCTATTCCCTCTTACACCCCATTCCCGACTACACTGCCTCTGCCCTGTTATCCTGCTGCCACTGCCCCTTCCTTGACCATAGACACTGGAGTTATTGAGAATAGATCTGAAAGGTCATGATTCCAACCTTCATTTTACAGCAGAGCAGACAGAGTTCCAGAGAGCAGACATGACTTACTAGAGTCACCGGGGTGGTTTAGTGGTTACTGTGCTTTGTACCTACATGGGGTTTCAGACCCAGCTATTCTGTCAGTGGCTCCTAGTGATACGCAAGGGATGATACCTGAACTGTGCTTGAAGTTGGTAGCTCCCTACCGTCAACAACTTTGGGGTTTGTCATACAAGGTACATGTGTCTCTAAGGGCTGAGGATCACTTCTTCATTCTGGTCAGTCCTCTCACCTTTCTCTTCCCTACCCACCCTCAGCTAAAAGGGAGACACTGCCTTGGCTCCCAGATTTTCACAACCAAGTATAAAAGACATGGCTGGCTCTTGCAGGAACCCATAGGGGGTGAGTGGCCTGCTAGCTCCCAGAGTTCTAGAAAACCCTCTGGGTTGCCACTTGACTTAAGTCAGCCTGTGCTGGAGTTGACCTCCCCAGACATTCACAGGCCTCCTCACCATGATGGGCTTAGAGCTGGTGAGAAACATGCCTCAGGATGTGAGTCCCCCACTCCTAACCTTCCCTTCTCACACCCAGCTTCCTTCCCTGTCTTCTGGCAGGTATGCAGTGATCCGATTCAACCAGTACTTCAAAGTGAAGCCTCAAGTATCCGCCTTGGAGATGCCAAAGTGACCAGCTTCCCCCATCCCTCCCTTACCCATCTGCCAAATCCATTCTCCAGGGCTTGGTTCTGCTCTGGGAGCCACACTCTTGGACAAGGTGGGAGAGGGGACAGGTGGGTGCCACCAGTCCCCTGGTGAATGCCACTCTAGACTTATTCTCCTGTTTGGAGAGGCTGATAGGACCCAACTGTGGCGGCCCCTTCATCTCCCCAGGCTTGGAGGAAAGTGCCTGCAGACAGTCAGAGGCCACCAGTCCCAGGGACCAGACCACACCACCCCTGGGAACCACAGCATTTCCAGCCTCCGACTGTGCTGGAATCTGGGCTGCCTTACATGTGTCTTTGACCTTCCTGGCTTGGGGAAGGGGGGAAGGTGGGAGGGCTCCTTTCTACCTCCAGTGCCCAAGCCTCCAACCCATCCCCCTTGCATGCCCCATGTGGGAGGTGCTGCGCCCCAACCAGCATTGTGCTAACTCTGACAGATGGATGTACATAACTTAAGGGGTCTAGATTGGGCACGATGGCTCCCCCAGCAGCCACCTTACCTGAGACCCCTCACTTTCTCCAAGCCAGATCCAGTCAAATGACCCTTCCCCAAACCTCAGCCTGAGGAAACAGCCTCCCGTCCAGAGTCCTTTCTGTTCTGTGCTGTGTCTGTCCCTCTGCAGCCAGGGAGGAGAAGAGGAAAGAGGGTGGAGCGGTCCTTGACCGCCAAAACAGCCCTGCTTAGTGCCAGAGGCTTGGCCCAGGGGACGATGCCAATGGTGAGGTGTGGAGAACAGAAGCCAGCAGCCTCCTGCCTCATTCGTCTCCCTCCCAGGCCCCCACCCTGAGAAGGGTCTGCCTGTCCAGCTTTTAACTTCTATCCTGAAGTTGACCCCAGGTCTTCCCATTGAGGAATGACTAGTGGAAGAAGAGCGGGGCTCAGAAACCCCCAGTTGCTGGCACTTGAGAGTCTGCCTAAGACAGAAGACAGGATCCAAAGGTGCTGAGCTGGTTGCCCCTTGACACTCAATAGCCTCCACCTCCTTTCTGCCTGCAGCTCTGCCTTGGGCCCTCCTGGCTCTGGCTGAGAAAGTGATTCATTTGTAAATTATCATGGTTTTCTGCATTAAAATGGCCATTTCTGGAACAGCTCTTTGTTAGAGTGACCAAGGGAAGGGTTGATTTGACTGGGAGGGTATTCTCCCACAGTGGGGTCTGATGTCTCCTTAGACAAGAGAGCAGAGGTGTGCTCCGCCCCTCTTCTCTGGTATCCCCTTGTGCTTTGCTCTGCGGTGAAGCCATGGTCAAGTCTGTACCTGAGAGGTGAACAATACACCCATGCCACTTCAAGCATCTGGCTCTAAAATGCCCCAGGGCTCCTTGTATAGGGTAGACCTGGGCAGGCCTGGTGGTTTCAAAGCTTCTCTGCCCTTGACCATCTTGCTAGTTGAGCATGGTAGAGTGCTGCATAGAGGAAGGTAGGTTGTGGGTAGCAAGAATTTGAACCTACTGTTTTGGTTACCTAGCTCCGGTAGCGTAGTGCCTAAGGCACTTGACTGCTAACCAGAGGGCTGGTGCTTCAAACCCACCAGCCACTCCTCGGAAGGAAGGTTGGGCAATCTACTTCTGTAGTGATACTGTCTCGGAAACCCAAGAAGGGGTCGCTGTGAGTCAAGCCTACTCGAGGGCACATAACAACAACAACAGTGCCACTCTAATAGAAATTACTACAAATGGGTGATATGAACAAGCAGGAGTTTATTTTCTTACAATTTTGGAAGATTTCAGTCCAAGTTCAAACTGCCAGGCTCTGGGAACTAGATGAAAGCTCCTCAGCCTTGGGCTTTAGCTGTGCCTCCTGCTCCTGGCCCACTGAAGCTAGAGGCTTTTCTTTACTCAGCTGCTGGCTGCTGGGGCTGACAAGCCCAAAGTTGTCAAGTAAAAAGGCACAGTCTCAATGTTACCAAACAACATGGCAGGCCATGAATTCAAGGCTAGATGAAGTCCCAAGATTGGCAGGACATGGCAGGATGTTGAACGATGATGACAGTGTGGCTCCATGCAGGGTTCAAGTGTGCCAAAAGGCTAGAGACCAGTCCCAAAGCTTCTTATATACGGGAAGCAAACCACATCCCAAAAGTATCTACTCAGCTGCTCAGGGCACATTCCATCATGGAGTTGACTGCCTGTCTCATCATGAGGAATAACTATCTCTAGCTGCCCAGACACTCAACCAGGCCCAGCTAAGTTGACAATAACCTTAACTACCACACCTACCAAGATCGTGAACCACTGAAATCTTGAATCATAGTTCTCAGGACTTCCTTTTGGTAATCTTTCACTCCTGGTTACTGGGGATGGGGAACTGGGCAGGGGAGGGGGGCTGTTCTGCTCAACAATAGGCCAGGGTGATTTCTGGAACCAGCACTTTCTTTGAAGGGAGGGGTGCCCCTCTGAGCAGCCCTGCTGGCTACAGCCACACTTCCAGGGGTAGGCACCAGCAGAATCCCCCAGAATGTGCCCAACACTCTTGGAGGCAGCAATGGCAGCAACAGCCACCACCTGCCAGGTAGATTCTGACTGCTTGGCTTTGCCTGCAACGTACCTACCAGGTTTCATGACAACTGATGGAGCTGGTAGTGGCTCCTGGGACTTCTTAAGGGTCTTGGAGATCCTAGGCAGCTGGGCCTCTGCTGGTGGAAGTAACTAAGGGGCACTACACTGGAAGGGCAGGAGTGGGGGCAAAATGTGCCCAGGCATAGGGATGGTGCCACAGCTGGGTAGGTAGGGCTACCCAGGGTCTTCTTGGGGTTAGATGGTTATGGCCACAGCCTTCCTGTGGACTAAATAGCAGTGCCTACTCTCCTTGTTCCCCTCAGTTCCACTTCTGGAGCTGAGGGGCAGAAGTAACCAGTGTGAAGTCAGATTCCCTTCCAGCCTCCTGGGGCTTTCCTGTTGCGGCATGAGAGACAGTGTTGCAGTGGTGAGCAGTGAAGGGTTGGGGCAGGGCTGTGGGTACTGTGCTGTGCTCCTGAGGATACCACCCGCACCCGAGGAGTCATCAGCAGACAGCACCCCACTGCCTTCTTTGAGAAAACATTCTCATTCCTCAGTTCTCCGAGGGAGTGGAGATGTGGAGGATCTAGGTACTCCACTTCCCCCACCGTCTCAGAGTGCCCACCTTCTCTTCCTTCATTGTCCCCCAGACTACCCAATACCCTGCCTGCTTTTCCAGCGCACAAGGTCTTGGAGGTGCCTCTGTGCTAAAGAAGTCAGGGTTAGAGTCCAATCTGGGGCTCCAGCAGGAACTCAAGACAGAAGGGTCCCGTGCAGAGATTAATCTTTTTGATGAGTCTGACCCTCGCCCTCTGCAGAAGACAAAGAGCAAGCTTTTGCCCCAGCCTTCCTGGTAACAACCATGACACTCTATACCTGGCCTCTGCCACCCCCTGGATCCACATGAGACTACAGAGGACCTGGGAACAGGATGTGAGGGTGAGCCACACAAGACGCCTGATGAGCCTGCTCAGATTTAGGTTGGAACCCAGCAAGGAGCTCTGGTGGCATTTGACTGCTAACCAAGAGACTCAGGTTTGCTTTGGAACTCAAAGAGCTGGAAGGTATTTGACTGTAACCAGAAGTTGGCAGTTCAAACCCACCAGCCACTCAGCTGAAAGAAAATGGGGCAATCTACTTCTGTAGATTTTTTGCCCTGGAAACCCAATGGGTGTCACTATGAGTCAGAAACAAATCGGTGGTGGTTTTTTTTTTTTGTGTGTGAGGGAAGGGTAGGGGGTGGGGGGTGAAGTGACATTAGTTGAGACATACAGCTCTCTGACATGACTAGAGGGTAGCCACCACAGGCAGCCACGCTTCTCTGCACCACTTGCATCTTTACCACAAGGGGCCAGTCAGACTAGGCGCCACTGCTTGTCTCTGCTAAAGACTGGCCGGGAGACAACGGATGAAGAGGCCATAGAGGAGCCATAATGCTCTGGGGGGGGCTGGGCTGGAAAAACCATTCCCAAAGTCTAGCAGCCATTTCACTCCCTAGATCAGAAGGCCAGAACTCCTAATTCTTTCACTCCTACCCCTACAAGATTTGTGTGGCCTTGCACTCATCTGCACCTGCCTTCTCACAGCCATCACCCTCTCCAATTTAGAAATTCCTTTTCTAGTATACAAGAACCTTTACTCAAATACTTTTTTTAAACGCATTTTATTGAAATATAATTTATGTACAGTCAAATACACAAAACTAAAGTGACATGGGTGGGTGCATATTTTTTCAGTGTTACCTCCCCTCCCCTGGCAACCAACAAAGAAAGTTTCCCTTCATATAAAAATCTTCCCTTGACCCTCCACAACAACAAACTAATACTGTATTTGTCCTTCTGTGATTGACTTACTTCACTCAGCATAATGTCCTCCAAGTTCATCCATATTATGCGGTGTTTTGCAGACTCTACGTTATTCTTTACTGCTGCATAGCATTCCAGTATGTGTATGTACCATAGTTTGGTCATCCACTCTTCCACTGATGGACACGTAGGTTGTTTCCATCTTTTTGCTATTGTAAATAGTGCTGTGATGAACATGAGTGTGCATATATCTGTTCCTGTCCTGGCTATCGCCTCTCTAGAATATATACCCAGTAATGGGATTGCTGGGTCAAATGGCATCTCCAATTCCAGCTTTCTAAAAAATTGCCATATTGCTTCCCACAGTGATTGTATCCCTTTACAGTCCCACAAGCAGTGCATGAGAGTCCTAATTTCTCCACACCCTTGCCAGCATTTGTTATTTTCTGTCTTGTTGAACCTTGCCATCAGTGCTGGAGTGAGACAGTATCTCATTGTTGTTTTGATTTACATCTCTCTGATGGCCAATGATTGTGAGCATCTCTTCATGTATTAGCTGGCCACCTGAATATCCTCATTGGTGAATGTCTATTCATGTCTTCTGCCCATTTTTCAATTGGATTGTTAATTTGGTGTTGAGGTGTTGGAGTTTTCTATAAATCTTA